CTAATTTAGCCACCTTCCAGCTCCAACCTGCTCACTCTTTATCTCATAATCCCGATTATCCCCTTAAGACTTTTATCACAACTATAATTTCCCCTTAGTGCACTTGGGTATCATCTACTCCTCACCCTCAGCCTTGACTGAAGCCCTGTGGGCACAGGTACTCTGGCTGCCTTGCTTCCTCTTGTGCTCCCAGCTCCTAGTCATGCCTAGCACATAGTAGGTGCTTAACAAAGTATTTGTCTGAGGAATAAACTGAAAAGACTTGGGAGGTAGATTGTTGCTGTTGTCCTGCTCTTTCCATAAGGAAGTTAGTGAGAATGAAAAATTTACAAAGACTCACACGTAGGAAGAAGCTAAGCTAGGGGACTAGAAATCTGTCCCCCTACCTGGCCAGTCAACCTGACGCTGACATCCTGTGAGCACCTTGATGTGGGGTTAGCAGCACACCCACCTCACCCTCCCCACCCCCACCTTGATGATTGGGTGGGGGCGGGGTGCATGGTAGAACAGCAAGGGGGACATTGGGTTTGGGTTGAAGAGCAGGTTGTGGCTGAGATGCACAGGAGGCGTCTCGCACTGGATTTGACGACTCCTGCTCCCACATTGCATGTTTTCCGGGAGAAAATAAGAAGCATGTGTGAGGGGCGCACACCGTTTTGAATGCAAAAACTGCTCACAACAGACGCCTGCTGCACTGGCTGAGTGATGAGTGCGAGTGCCCCCGTCCAGGCCGAAGGCAGCCAGACCTGAGGCAGCCAGTCCAGCTGAGCCCTGCATGAGGACGGGCATCGGCAGGCTCCTGCGACTGTGGGAACAATGGGGAACCCCAGAGGCAAAAGTTAGCCTGATTTTTACCTCCTCCATTTCTGAAAGGTTGGACGAGCCCAGCCCACCCATCCTCAGCCCCAGCCTCCCTACTTGGTTCATTCCACTTCATCCGAGACACGCCCCTCATCGCTGGGCCTGTTCCCCACTGCCCTGGTCCCTGCTCTGTCTGCCGCCCGGGGAGGTGGCTGAGTGTAAGTGGAGAGGCCGCTGGTGAGTCTCCCTTCCCATGGTGGACGGAGAAAGAAAGGTGCTTACTGTCAGTGGCTCGCACCTGTAATCCTAGCTACGTGGGAGACAGAGATCAGGAGGACTGGGGTTCAAGGCCAGCCCAGGCAAAAAGTGAGATCCTATCTCAAAAATACACAACACACACAAACACACAAATACACAACACACATAAAACAACACAAATACACAACACACACACATAAAACACAACACACAACACACAAACACAACAAATACACAACACACATAAAACAACACCAATACACAACACACACACAAAACACAGCACACAAACACAAAACACACAACACAAATACACAACACACAAAACACACAACACACAAACACACAACATACACAAACACACACAATACAAAACACACAACACACAACATACACAAACACACAATACACATGTTCCACACAACACACATAACACAACAAAAAACACACCACACACAACACAGCACACAACACAACACAACACACAAAGACACAACACACACAAATACACAACACACAACACACAGACACACCACACACCACACAAACACACAAAACAACATGTTCCACAAACACACAACACAACAAACAACACAACACACACAACGCACAAACACACCACACACAACATACAACACAACACACACAAATACAGAACACAGAACACACAACACATACACAACACACACAACACATACAACTCACACAAATACACAACACACACAAACACACAGAACACAACACACACCACACACAACACACAAACAGAACACACACAAATACAGAACACACAACACACAAACACACAACACACACAAAACACAAAACACAGCACACACAACACACACAAAACACAATACACACAAACACACAACACATACAAACCACACAACTCACACAAATACAAAACACAACACACAACACATGCAACACAAACACAACACACAACACACACAAAACACACCACACACCACACACAAGCACACAACACACACAAAACAACACAACTCACACAAAACACAACCCACACAAAATACACAACCCACAAATACACAACACACACACATACTCAACACAGACAACACACAAATGCACTACCAACACAAGTACACAATGCACACAAAATACACAACCCGCAAATACACAACACACATACAAATACACAACACAAACACAAAATACACAATACCAAAGAAGGGCTGGTAGAGTGGCTCAAGGGGTACAGCAGTTGCCTAGCAAGTGTGAGGACCTAAATTCAAACCTCAGTACTGCAAAAAAGAGAGAGAGAAAAGAAGAGACAAGGGTGGGCAGCTCTTCTTCGGTGGCCTCTGCCCCTTAGGATTTAGAGCACGGGGCTAGACCTGTGCTCACTAGGGGAGGCCCTGCTCAAGCTCACAAGCAGAGTTCATAGGCCTCACTTGTCCTGGTCTTGCCTTGGCCTGAGACTAAGCATCTGAGCACCTGGGTACTAAACTCAGTCCCTCCCTTTAACTAACTGCATGGGTTTCCCTTAGCTGCACTGAGCAACTATACATTTATAAGGAATGGCGCTGCCACGAGAACCAATAATGAGCTAATGCATGCGGATAAACCTATGACACGGTAGAGATGGCACATGGGCCAGCTCTCCCTTTTGTCTTTTGTCTTCTGTTTTCAATCAAGCCTGTTGCGGCCAGCAGGTCAGGTTTCCCGGGGCGAGCAGGTGGCCTTAGTGTTTGTGGCAGGCATTTGCTGTTCACCATGCCTCATTCCTGTCTCTTTCCTGGTGTGTCGCTCAGCTTTCCATTACTGTAACAAAGACCTGAGAGAGTCAACCTACAACAAAAGGTTTTGGCTGCTGGTCTCAGAGGCTCATAGCTGGTTGGCCTGTTGCCTTTCGCCGGTGGTGAGGCAGCACATCATGACAGGAACGTGTGGCACAGCAACGCTGCTCGCTTCAAGGCCAAAGAGAGAAAGAGGAAGGAATCGGGGGCTCGCAATCGCCTTCAGGCCGCACCCCCAATGATCTGAAGACCTCCCGCTAAGCCCCGCCTCTTCAAGTCTCCACACCCTCCCAATGGCGCCATGCTAGGGATCACCGTTGTCGTGTGGACATTTGGAGGCGTCAAGAGCCATGCAGTAGCCGGCGTATGGAGGAAGCTCTTTCCGGCCCCTTGAAGTTAGGTGGGGTCCCGTGACTGGTTCTGGCCGGTGGGATGTGGACAGAATGGCGTGCAGCGCTTCCAGATGGGCGTCTGTGTTCACTGTTGCGATCCCCTCCTCTGCGCCTCACTGGTCCTGCGATCACAGAGAGACGGTGGGGATGGAGTTCTGTCAGCCTGGGTCTCTGAGTGACCTCAGTGAGCAGAGCGCTCAGGCATTTGCCCTGCACATGCGCTGTGGGCGAGAAACGAATGGTTATTGCTTTAAGCCATGCGATTTGGGCTTCTATCAGATGCGGTGCTCTGTCAGCAAGCTTTCTCAACTTTGAGATTCAGGGACCAACTGCCTCCGAATCCCACAGAGCAGCCTTCTTAAAATGCAGGTGCTCAGGCCGCACCCCGGAAGCCCACAGCTGGGACCCTGGGGGCTGCGTGTCTAACACCACTGACCGGGTCTTCAGAGGCAACCAGCACAGACCCCAGGCCTTGAGGGTGACAGGGGAGGCCTTTGCGCCTTCCTCCTGCTCAAATATTGTGGCAGCTGTGCAGGTGCTGCAGGGCTCAGCTCCTGAGAGGTCCCGGCCTCCTCACCCCTCCCACCTGGAGATGCAGCAGGTCCCCTGGGGCTTGGGGAAGGGCTCACTGAGTGGTCTTGGAGTGATAGCCTAGAAACACTGTGTGATGGATTGAAGGAGACGAGACCGTTCTCGGCTGATGGCTGACGTGCGGCGACAGTGACAGGCAGCGATGTTTGTGCTCTGAACATGCAATCTCAGTTAATGGGAAAGATTGAGGGGTTTGGAATGAGATGCGTGGTGTGCCAAAGCAGCTCCACGGGCAGAGATGCGCTGGCAGAGAACAGCAGCCTCACAGCTTCCTCAGTGAGGGGCTGAGGAGTGGGTCTGTGGGAGCAGGGCTGACCCAGCAGGCTCCAGGAGGGGGCACCTTGTCTGCTGTGAAGATGTTACAGGGCCACACTGGGAGCCTCAAAGTGGGCCACAAGATGGGCTCTTTGTGAACACGGTGCGCAGGTGTCTCCTTGTGCCCCACAGGGCTGCCCAGCACAGACGCACACCATGCAGTGCCCCAGTGAGCGGGGACAGGAGAGATCCTTGCACCCTTATTCTTGCCTCTCTCAAGGGAGCTTCAGGTGTGCTCCCAGGTGGCAGCCTGAGGGAGGGGTTGGTAAACCAGAATCAAAAGCTGAGAACCAGAGAGGCAGCTCACAACCCTCTCAACCACTTCCTTCCTGGTTTTGAAACCTTATATGATTTGAAATCATCACTACCGTTTCCTTCCTGGGGATCCTTGACAAACAACACTGCCTCTCTGGGCCTCAGTTTTCTCACAAAAAAGCCCCATTTCCATCTGGGTGCTGGTGGCTCATGCCTGTAATCTTTGCTACAAGGGAGGTTGAGATCAGAAGGATCATGTTCCAAGGTCAGCCTGAGTAAATGGTTCAAGAAACCCAGTCTCCAAAATTGCTAGAGCAAAATGGACTGGAGGTGTGGCTCAAGCCATGGAGGGCCTGCTTTGCAAATGCGAAGCCCTGAGTTCAAAACCCATCCCACCAAAACAATAGCAACAAAAATCTCCACTTCCTAGGAAAATTGTACAGGGATGGTTGAAGATAAGCTGTAAAGTGTAAATCACTCAGGAGTTGAGTAAAATGCAGATTTGGACTTAGTGAGTTTTGGGGGACACCTGAGACCCCGTGCTTCTAAGAAGCTCCCAGTGATGCTGCTGGTGCAGGTGCCTCGAGGATAGTTACAACGGTGAAGACCGTAACACTGCAGGTTCATGACGACGCTCAAGGACAGCGTTGGGGCCGTTATTACTACCACCATGATCGTGGGCGTCATCAGTGCCACACGGGTGAGCCTTGTCTTTCCTGACCACTTCCCAGAGCTTCCTTCAAAACTGTCCCTTTCATGGTTTCCCTAGAAGCCACCTGCACACAAACATTGCAGGGGCCCACCCCCGGGACTATCCCCAGGCATCACAGATGACCCAGTGGCCAACCTTGCTGGCCACTAGGCACCTTTAGAGAAACTTGTTCCCAGTGACTCTGTAGATGGAGTTGGAAACCACTGTCTGGAAGGGAGTGCCCTCCTCACGGACAGTCCAGGGAACTCTGGCTCACTGAGGACGGGAAACTCCTTGATGTGTGCAAATCTCACCAGACACTGTGCAAGACCAGGCAGGGCTTCGCCTGAAGAGGCCTCTGTGTCTACATGGGCGGGCTGAGTCAAGGCAGAGGGCAAGGATTGCTGGCACCTCCATACTCCTTTGTCACAGCTTCTCTTGGGTCCTCAAAAGTACCCTTCCTTCACTTTTCAAAAGAAGACATAAATTAAAGAGCTAAGCATGGCAGCGTGAGGCCTCATTCCTCTCGCTTCCTTTTTTTTAACCACGCAGGCATATGTAAGCTCTGTCTGAGAGTGTGTCCTTAGGTGCGTGTGTGTGTGTATGTGTACCCCTTGAATAGGGGACGGGGTCCTCTTGGGATTGGGGTCTGAGGATACTGTGTCCCACTGGAAGAAGAATGAACATCTTCAGGTGTGTGGGTGTGTCTCTGAGCTTGGCCAGGTCTGGACCCAGTCCCAGCCTTGCATTGTCCTGCCAGTAATTCAGCAGACGGTGGGTCCCGGCCACCTGCAGGAGATGAGGATGGCGTGTTTGTTTCTAGCACTGTGAATGAGCCAGCCAGAGGAAGGTGTTTGTTGAGGTGAATGACTGAAGCTGTGTGTGCCTGGGGTGTGTATCTGCATGTGTGCACAGTGTGTGTGTGTGTGTGTGTGTGTGTGTGTGTGTGTGTGCACTCTGTGTGTTTGTGCATGAGTGAGTTTGTGGATGCCTGTGCCTGTTGGCGCATGTGTGCCTATCTCAAGCACATGTGTTTGTGTGTGTGTGCACGATCTGGGCATGAGCGTGTGTTTGAAAAAGTGTGGATGCACACGTGTGTGTCTTCGCAGAAGAACCTCGCACTTTTAGCTCATTCCTCTGCAATATTTGTTATCAATTCACTAATTCGCTCACTCAACCATTCATATATTCCTTCACAGACTAAGTACAGATCATCTAATGATGGATTAAATGGTGCTATCAACTCGGGCACCTCACTGCCATCATTTTATGATGTCACAAGCCCTTCAGATCTCCAGGGACTGGTCTCCCCGGTCTCAAGGACATTGAGACCTGCACTTGCCAGGCCACTCTGTGTACTCTCTGAACTCTTGGTCCTTATCCTCCACGCATACTTGCCTCTGGGTTTGGGCACAGTCCTATTTGTTGTCTGGATGGTGGCACTGGGCCACCTTGTCATGTCTGGCCTGAAGGGCCTCATTCCTTTTACTGCTTAAAAAAAAAACCAGGCATGCGTAAGTCCTAACTGAGGGGTTATGTGTCAACCCCAGGGGCATGAGTTCCCCAGACAGGTGTGTATGGACCCCTTGGATATGGGACAGTGTGCTCTTGGATTTGAGGTCTGGGAGTTTTAAGTCCCTTTCTGAGAGGTATGAGGGCATCTCCAGGTGTGTGAAAGTGTGTCCCTGAGTTTGACCAGGCCTGGGTGCAGTCCCAGCCTACCCCAGAAGCCCCCTGCGTTGTCCCACCAGTAATTACAGCAGATAAACGGCTCCAGTCAAGGGCTGCTGTCCCCGGCTGGCTGCCAGCCGTGCGGCCCTAGGCTGCGCCGTGGGAGTCCATTCATTTTAATAAGAGGTACACCCTGTGTTATTAAGAAGAGTGTTTATTACTGTCGCTACGCACTGACAGCAACTTCCATCATCGTTAAACGGCAGATGGGGGGAGGGGAGGGGGCTGTGCACTGCAGCTTTTCAGAGGAGCAGGCCCAGCTGGTGAGGCTGCAGAGGGAGAATCTCTCTCTCCCTCTCTTACCCCAGAACTGCATGGCAACCCCTTTCCAAGCAGGAATGGAGCTTGCAAAGCCTGACCCCGCTTGGAGTGGGGGACGGGCTGGTTGAGGGATCCTGGGGTGCTCTATTCCATATCTGAGAGGGAAAGGAGCCCCTGGGTTTGAGCTAGCTTCCCTGGGGCTAGGCAGGGATAACCTTGTGGCTCACCTGTCCCACTCCTCCTGGTTTCATCAAGGGTAGGTCAGATTCTGACCCTGCCTGGAATGTTCCACTCCAGGGATTGCCACACTGCTCCTCAGAATCCTCCAGTTTTAACTGAGTCTAGAGTAGCCCCACGCCCACCCTGTCCTTCCTCAGTCGCTCTCATTCCACCCCCAGGTGAAGGCTCCGCAATGCTCTCATTTGTCTCCATCCCAGTGACAGAAGTTCTAGGAGCAGGGCCTCTTCAGTCTCCTTTACTGCTCCATCCTCAGCACCAGGAACAGGGCCTGAGACCCAGAAGGTTCTGTATTCAGTCACTGAATAGATGAGTTCTTTTCACATGCCTTGCCTCTTGCTGTCAGTCTGGATGTCTGGGTGTGGACAAGGGTTGCATACAATGAGGGGATGTGTGCTAGAGTAAAAGAAAAAACAGAGGTTCCCAGGCTGTCCCCATTCTTAGGGTTTTGGTAATTGTTTTTCTTTTCTTTTCTTTTTTTAATTTGTGGTACTGGGGTTTGAACTCAATACCTTGCACCTTACTAGGCAGTTGCTCTACCACTTGAACCAGGTCCCCAAACCCTTTTGTTTTCGTTGTTTTTCAGGTAGGTTCTCTCACTTTTTGCTCAGGGCCAGCCTTAGACCATGATCCTTCTAGGATCATAGGTGTGCTCCCACACAGCTAGGATCATAGATGTGCTCCATCAAGCCCACAGGTCTTGGTAATTTTTCATGATGTCTCAAGTCTAAAGAAACAAGTTGTTTCTTTAAGTAGCTAGACCTAAACAACTTAAGCATGCATGTTTGAATAACTAATTCAAAAAAGCAATGCACATACATTTAAAAATATTATAATGGAGTTCCTTATCTCAATTTCATACCAGTGGGATATTATAAACCTGTTGGCACCTCCCAGCCTCCCAAACCTTGGATCACATTGGACACTGTGTTAGTCAGATTTTGGTCACGGCAACAAATTACCTGAGATAATAAACTTAAAAGGAAGAAAGGTTTACTTTGGCTCATAGTTCTGGAGGTTTCAGTTCCTGGTGGGTTGGCCCCATAACCTTGGGCCCGTGGTAAGGAGCATGTGATGAAGGAGTCCTGTTCAGCTCATGCTGGCTGGGAAGCACAAAGAGACAGAGAAAAGGGCCTGGGTCCTGATATCCCCTTCAAGGACATGCCCCAGTGACCTAACTTCCTTCCGCTTGGTCCTACCCCTTAAAGGAGCTCCACCACCTCCTGATAGCACCACAGGTGCATTCACCACAGGGCATTGGGAGACTCCTAAGAGCCAAACTATAGAAGGCACTGCCACTCTCATTTCTAGTTCCACGTTGATTTTTTAAAAAATCACAGCAACCAGAAAATTCAGCTTCTCAATGCCAGGGTATTAAAAAGAATGTTACAAGATCTTCTATTAAAACTGTGCACCACCTCAAGCTAGGAACTTCCAGTGGACATTGATATTACTGTGTCTGCCTAGAAAATTTTAAGGGCTCTATGGTGCCTCAGTGTGTGCTGTGGTACCTAGGGGTACCTTGGTGCACAGTTTGGACTCCACGGCAGTGTCTCAGATTAGCTGTTTGCTTGGTTACATATTTATTTATCTATCTATTATTTCTGGTGTACTGGGGTTTGAACTCGGGCCACATGCTTGCTAGGCAGGAGCTCTGCTACTTGAACCACTCCACCAGCCCTACGTATTTGTTGTCTTAACAAAGCACTTTCATAGTACCAACTCTGCCAGGTCCTGTGCTGTGAGGTTCACAAACATTAACTTATTTGATCATTGTAACTACCTCACGACAGGTGCTATTCTGTGATTGTTAATTTTATGTGTTGACTTGGCCAGGGTATTGTCCCCAGTTGTTTGATCAAGCAGCAGACCATGTTACGGTGACCGTATTTTAGGTGTGATTAACATTTCCATCAGTAGATGCTGAGCAAAGCAGATTGCCATCCACACTATGGATGGGCCTTATCCAATCATGTGAAGGCTTTTTTTGGTTTTTTGTTTTGTTTTTCTTGGCGGTACTGGGCTTTGAACTCAGAGCCTTGTGCTTGCAAGGCAGGTACTCTACCACTTTAGCCATTCTGCCAGCCCTATTTTGGGTTGGGTATTTTCAAGATAGGGTTTCTCCAACTATTTCCCTAGGCTGGCCTCAAATCTCATTCCTCCTGACTTCTGCCTCCCAAGTAGCTAGGGATTACAGTTGAAGGTCTTAAGACTGAGGTTTTGCAAAGAAGAAGAAATTCTCAAGACTACAATATAAAAATCCTTCCACCTGAGTTTCCATCCAGCTGCCCTGCAGCATTTGGACTCAAGACTGAAACATGAACTCTTGCCTGAATTTCCAGCTGGAACCTGGAACCTCTCTACAGATTTCACCACAGCTGCATGAACCAGTTCCTTTTCTGTCTCCCTCTCTGTCTCTCTCTCTCTCTGTCTCTCTCTCAAGGGTCCCACTTGAATATATATATGTATATCTAGATAGATAGAGATATATAGATATAGTTGTAGATAGATATATGCTTCCTATTGGCTGTTTTCTGGAGAATGTTAACCATGATTGATACATACTGTTAACGTCATTTATAGAGAAAGACATTATTCAGTGACTAGCTAGCTGTGTGGCCGTGGACTGGGCTTTTTCTCTTTGGGTTTCTATTTTAATCAAGGCCAAATAAGGGAGTAGGACAAGATGAATTCATAGCTACTTCTGGCGCTAACAACTTGGCACTGCGACATCGTGGGCAGTGGGAACTGTCTTGTGCATTGTGGGGTGGTTAAGCCCC